CTGGAAAAGAGACAACTGCTTTCAGTAAATACAGAAATATACTTTGGGTTCCAAAGTATCACCTCTCCTGGGGTGGAGGAAGAATAGTTGGGGAAACAGGAGAGAAAGAGGGAATGACAAGAATAAATAGAGGAAGGGAAAAGGAGGAAAGAAATGTAGAAGGAAGGAAAAGGAGGGAAAAGAGAAAACAGAAGTGGAGGAATAAAGAGGATTGTGAAAAATTTGGTTCTGTATGTACGTTTTGAGGGGCTATTTGTCAAGGTCATTTGTAAAGTTTCTCCAGAGGGAGAGAGTCAACAACAGTCTTCCCCATCCTTTTAAAGTTTACATGAGCTAACTCTAGTTCACACAGCTTCAACGGCCCAGAACTTGGGAAGAGCGGCCTTTGGCCTGCAGGACAGCAGGCCCTCCAAGTCTGGAGATGTAGCACTGAGGTCTAAGTCCAGCAGTAAGACTTAGACCTGTAAGGAACAGTCTGCCACCGCCACTCGTTACTCAAGTGCCTGGTAGAAGGTCTTCCCTGAGCTGGGTGACTCCACCTTATCCACCATTTCCTGTTCTAGGACTGGGGTTCTGCAAGTGTGGGTCCTGATAGAGAACCGCAAATGCGGGGAGTATGGTGGAGAGTGACGGAGACAGCTGTCTTCAGCTCCCTTCCTTTCTTCTTAAGGCTGTGGTCCAGAAAGAATATACCCTTCTAGCCTTTTATAATTAGAAAGTAGAGAAGGAAAATTTTGATTAATGAAATCAATATGTGTGTGTGTGTATGTGTGTGTGTGTGTGTGTGTGTGTGTGTATTATGTGATAGGTATTGGGCATACAGATAGGCACTGGGTACAGATGCCCGAGTTTCTGGATCCTTGAGGTTGACATTGGAATGGGGGAGGCAGGAAAAGTCCATCATTTGCACCATATTTTATACCCCTCCAATCCTACTAAATATGTTCATATCTTTAAATATATGCTCTGACTCCCGTTCCCTCCCAGACTCTCCTTCTGGCACCAACTCCAGAAAGCAAGAGACTTTCTTTGTCCCCAGTTGGTCTTCAAATCCCTCAAATCTTGCCTCTAGTTCCAAGGCGTTTTATCTTACACAATCAAGCAAGGAATCAATGACAAATACTGCGCTAGGTGCTATGCTTGTAGGTCAGAAATTTGGGGTAAATAAAAAAGAAATCTCTGATGACTGGGAAATAAATAATCTGAAAGGCAACTGTTGCATTTCCTCACTTTTAAAATTGTTTTATTATGTGGGGCGCCTGGATGGCTCAGTAGGTTAAGTGTCCAACTTCAGCTCAGGTCATGATCTCAGTTTGTGAGTTCAAGCCCCGCGTTGGGCTCTCTGCTATTAGCACAGAGCCTGGACCCTGCTTAGGATTCTGTGTCTCCCTCTCTCTCTCTGCCCCTGCCCTGCTCACACTCTGTCTCTGTCTCTCAAAAAGTGAATAAACATTAAAAAAAATTTTAATTGTTTTATTAAAAAAATAACCTTTCCACATCATTTTACTTAAAATTTTTTTTATGTTTATTCATTTTTTTTTTTTTGAAAGAGAGACAGGCAGAGCACAAGCAGGCGTGGGGTGGAGAGAGAGGGGCACACAGAATCTGAAGCAGGCTCCAGGCTCTGAGCTGTCAGCACAGAGCCAGACGTGGGGCTTGAACTCACAAACAGTGAGATCATGACCTGAGCCAAAGCCAGACGCTCAACCGACTGAGCCACCCAGGCACCCCTACATCATTTTACCTTAAATCTACCCTCACTCAAGCAAAACAAAACAAAGCAAAAAAAAAAAAAAATTATGCACCTTTAAACCCAGGACAGGATCTTTAAAAAATTTTTTTTTCAACGTTTATTTATTTTTGGGACAGAGAGAGACAGAGCATGAACGGGGGAGGGGCAGAGAAAGAGGGAGACACAGAATCAGAAACGGGCTCCAGGCTCTGAGCCATCAGCCCAGAGCCCGACGCGGGGCTCGAACTCACGGATCGTGAGATCGTGACCTGGCTGAAGTCGGACGCTTAACCGACTGCGCCACCGAGGCGCCCCAGGACAGGATCTTTAACAACAAGGTCAGCCCTGCCAGTTCCTGGGAGGAGCCTGATTCTCTGGGTTTCTGTTAAGGCAGCCTCTTTCCCTTGCTTACCTCCTAGTTCTGAGTTCCCCAGGCTTCCATGGGAAGCTGGACTCATTGTTCTCCTTGGTGTGGGATCAGGAATTGGCAGTAAAATTATGTTCCTTCCAGTTGTTCTAGGTGCTCTGGTACCTGCTTCATCTTCATCATTTTCTAGCTTGACTCAAAATTTTCTAGGGGATTCAATGGCTGCACTATTGAAAGATATGCCTGGAAATCTTCTAGAATAACTCTCACCCCACATCATTGTGGCTCCTTGGTAATGGGTTGCCCATCCATCTCCTGTCCACCCCTGTCTCTTACTCACTGGAGGAGTGCGGATGTGTGGATTTTTGTTAGCTATAAGCATCTCCCACCCCCAGGGACTCTATCTAAGGATAATGGTGAAACTATCCCCTTGGCCAGTGATTCATGTAGCGAAGTGACTTGATCCTGGCCAATAAAAATAAAAATAAGTGGGTAGCAAGTGGCAGAAAGATCCACAAACGTTTCCTTGCTTTTAAATTGAAATTTATGAAAATGATACGGCATGGTAGGATTGCAGCCATTTGCTAACGAAGCTTGCCTAAGGACTAAATTAACATGTTACAGATGGTAGGGTAGAAACATGGAAAGAATGTAGGTCTTTGATTGATGATGGTGAGCTACCGAATCCAAGTGACCTTGGGACTACCCTACTCAAGACGTATTATGTAACGTACCGCATATTCCTTGTTGCATAAGTCAGTTGGGTTATCATTTTCTATTACTTAAACCTGAAGGTTCCCTGATACACCTGCCCATGCCGAGCAGTATGAACACCAAAGAGGCTCAGCTGCAGGTCAGACGTAAGTTTTTGTTTGACCATTTTGTCTGACCATCGTGTGATTTCAGAAGGAGGGAAATGACAGGATGAGAAATTCGTGCCATGGACTTATTTATTTATGATAAAATTTTTTATTTTCAGACAATTGTAGAGCCACCTGCAGTTGGAAGAACTGATACAGGGAGCCCTGGTGTACCCTTCAGCCAGTTTTCTCCAGTTGCAACATCTTACAAAGCTATAATACAGTATCACAACCAGAAAACTGTCATTGATACATTCCATGGATCTTATTCAGATTTCACCAGTTTTACATGTACTCCTTTGTGTGTGAGCATATTTTTTTATGCAATTTTATCTCATGTGTAGGCTTGTGTATTCACCATCATGGCCAAGCTGCAGAACAGCTGAGATTTATTTTTTTAAAGAAACTTCTGGGGCGCCTGGGTGGCGCAGTCGGTTAAGCCTCCGACTTCAGCCAGGTCACGATCTCGCGGTCCGTGAGTTCGAGCCCCGTGTCAGGCTCTGGGCTGATGGCTCAGAGCCTGGAGCCTGCTTCCGATTCTGTGTCTCCCTCTCTCTCTGCCCCTCCCCCGTTCATGCTCTGTCTCTCTCTGTCCCAAAAATAAATAAACGTTGAAAAAAAAATTAAAAAAAAAAATAAAGAAACTTCTAAATTCTTTTACCCTTTTGGCAGAAATCGCAGGGAGTTTCTTTTTTGTTTGTTTGTTTGTTTATGTATGTATGTATGTATTTTGACAGAGAGGGAGAGAGAGCAAGCCGGGAGGGGCAGAGAGAGAGAGGAAGAGAGAAATCCCAAGCAGGCTCTGCACTGTCAGTGCAGAGCCCAGTGCAGTGCCACTCCTACAGTATTTTTCAGTGTTCCTCTGAATCCTTGGAGTCTCACCCCTCCAACTCACTTCAGCTGAAGCAGGTTAACACACATGTATTTTATTCTGAGCTTTATAACAAGCCTTCACGGGGGAATAAGTTCTTAGCTTAAAAACAAACAACAAAAAAATGGAACTGATAACTTATGGTAATTATCCCTTTGATATTCAAATAATGTTACTTGGATAGAGCTTTATAGTCTTTCAAGTCCCTTTCCAGTCCATCATCTTTCTTAAGTCTTAAAACAGCTCTGATTAAGTGTGTAAACTAATGAACACATGAAAAAAACATGTATGTGATCAGTGGTTGTGGGAGGCTTAGTCCCACAGGCATGGTCCATGGGAGCTGAACTCTTAGAGAAGGAACCCTGGAGTTCCATGGCACAAACTCCTCAGTCCTCTGCCGGGAAGGAGTGCTGACCCCCTGAAGTGTTTCCCAACTCTGTCCCTTGGCCAGATCCCACCAGAACTGAAAATTAAATCCTTCATGTCAAAGGACAGGATTTGTTCTGGAACAGGTGATTTCAGCATTGTGCTGAGTAGTATTACAGAAGCTGGGAAGCATTGTTCTATATAAGACAGACGCTTTCATGCTCATCACCTGTCATGCAACAAGGTTTGCAATGAATTCCCTGAAATCTTCTAGGTTTTACTGGGGAAATTTACAAAGCAAAAATGAACAAGAAAACAGAAGAGATGGGCCAAGATTCTCTGCTGGACACACCATGGGTGGACATTCCAAGGAAGGGAATTTGTCCCCTTGCTGCATTTAGGGCAAGAGTGGGAATGACCTAGATGGGGGGGAATAATCGAACTTCCTGGATATCATCCAGTTTGCGGTTAGATACTAGGTCTAACTAGATACTAGGAGAATCAGTTATCCAGCACCTGAAGACCTTGGTTTTATGGAAAGCAGAAACCGGTCCCGTGAGAAATTTGGGTGCAATCCCTTCTGTGCAAAATAAGAAGCCCAGGTCCCAGCTGGCCTCTCCAAGCAACCCAGAATGAGGTCGGTTTTTGACAACCCTGCTTGTGGCACCGCGAGTCTCATTCATCTTTGTGTCCCCAGCACTTAGCACAGAGCCCGGCACATGATAGGTACGTGAGCACCGCCTGATGAGTTAATGAATAAATACACTTTTGTGCCAATTGAAAACAACTGATTTTGTTCTTGCTGATGAAATGAGAGGAGAGCAAATAAGAAACGTCGTTGCCTACATTTGTTGAATCTGCGGAAGTCGGTATGCATGCTGTGCCTCTGCTTTGGTAAAACCTCTTTGAAGAATCCCTAACTTTGTGAGAAGGCTCCCTGGCTGCAGCAAGGTCTACTTCTACAGAATTTCTATCATTTCTTTGCAGCTCTGGCAAGTAAGGCCGTGGGATCTGGATCTGAGTGTCTGAGATCTGAGACACTCAGCAAAGGAAGTCTCCACAGGCGGTGGCAGCTCTGGAATTTCCCACAGCCACTCCTCCAACAAGCTTTGTAAGTCTTCAGTACTTTGATTGAATTAAATGCACAGCAGAATGGGAAGTAAGCCACTGTTGGTGAAATGTTTATGGAAACAATTTGAAAAGTTACCTCCCTAAAACAGTTTTCTGTCGGACAGTGTTTGCTAAACTCTTCCCCACTGAAAACCCCTTTTAATATGATTTCCCCTGCACAATCCTTGCTTTGAAAGATTTTGCAAGCACAATGAATTTACCTTCCCAAAAGGAAATCAAGGAATCAAGATTTTTTTTTCCCCTAACTAAAAGTCATCCCTGAGGTTTTATTTTAAGTAAACAATTACTTTCAAGCTTCCTGAAAAACTGAAAGTAGCTGGAGGAATTTTTCCCTGTTCCCTGGGACTGTGGTTATTACTTTCTGAAACTGCTAGGCTTCTAAGTTTGAAAATAGTGTTTCGGATGGCAGGCAGATAGCACCAAATTAACACAAGCCTGTGAGTTCTAGGTCTTTTGCTATCAATTTATCCTCATGACTGCTAATGAGTACTCAGCTGTGGCAGCTATTCCTGCCCCAAATTCTCCCTGTGTAGGTGTCCTGCTGAGTGGTAAGATTTTTGTCTGATGAGCAGGCAGAGGCCAGACTTTCGCCCCCAGCTTTCTGTTAATGTGATTATCTTGGGAGAATGTTCAACAAGCAAACTGGACTATCCAACGCCTTTTACCTAAGGAGCTGTCCCTTTGAGATGTAGAAGAAGCCACTTGTCTCCCTAGGTCAAAGTCTTTTGTGGTACAAAGTTGTTTGGGATGCGGGAAAAATTCTCAAGTAAGAGCATAATAAAGCAGTAAGCAACACTATTTTCTAAAAGGAAAAAAAAAGATAACTTTTATTACCTTCACAAATTGTCATAGCACTTTTTGGGGGGGAAGATTAGAATAGATAGGAGCTTAGAAATCTGACCTTGGCTGGTATGAGAGTACAGAGAATCTGGTACTTCTTAATTTCCCATTTAGGTTCTCAGTGTTCCAGGAAGTGGTTTGCTCAAGTTTCTTTTCTCCATTTAGTTCTCCTGAATGCCCAGCTTCAGTGCCTGGGCATTGCTGCCAGGGATCCTGCTGGTGCATTCAGCTGCCATTCAAGGAAACAGCCCTCCACACCGCCTCGCACTTGGAAGTCTGTCTTACAGCATAAAACAGGTGGAAGGACATTCTGCCTTTAGAGTTCTACTGGCATGTCTTGCTACTTCTACTGCCCGATGCCAAGAATGACAAAAATCTTTTGTGTATGTTTGGGGGTGGGAAAGACCAGATAGTACCGTGAATAGCAGTTAACTTGCTGTTTGGGCAAGATTCCCAGGGCAGCTGTTGTAACTCAGGCGGCAATAACTCTAACACTTGGCTCTGTTTCTAGGATGGATTGATAGAAACTCTGGACAAATCATTTAAAAAATTATGCTCCTGTGATATGTTGAATGTATCACTGATCCACTCAAAAGCTGAATGTTTGTTAGTATCATAATAATGAAGCACAATGAGCATGTTAATCAACCAGGGTTGTGATTACACTTCCATTTCCATTCTAAATATCTTCTGCTTTCAGTAAAGTCATTGGCATCTGTTGGCAAAAATTTGAACTGATGCAAGATTTGCAATCTGTAGCTACAATTGAGACAAGATTACTTTTTTCATATGTTGGCAATCTTTTTTTTAAGTTTATTTATTTATTTTTGAGAGAGAGAGAGAGCAGGGTGGGGAGAGAGAGAGAGAGAGAGAATCCCACTGACAGTGCAGAGCCCCACACAAGGCTCAAACTCACGCACCATGAGATCATGACTGAATCAAGAGTCAGACACTTAACTGACTGAGCCACCCTGGCACCCCTATATGCTGGCAATCTTACTTGCACAAGAAGTTAGTCAACTTCACAATGGAATTTTAAGTTCTAACTGTGAATTTGCCAATCATTTGTTCTTAGTCACGACTTCAACCTATGTTTAATTTTTAGTCTTGACACATACATGTACGCATACATACACGTTATTTTATTTTTTTGTGTAAAGAAAAAGATTATGTTAGTACTCAAGTGGTAGATATTCATGCTAGATTAAATTTACACTCCAGTAGAAGATAAAAATGTGACTAATTGAAATAAATTATTCCTGGAAAATGAATTCTCAACATAAAGTTATATGAATCTCAACATTGTCAAGTTAAATCTCCTCAAGATTCCCAGACCTTATTAATGAGCATCAGTTTTAAAAATAGTTACATGGTTTTGCCTTCATCATTTCCTTTTGCTGAACACATCCAGACCAATAATAAGGGATACAACTGCTCCCATTTCAGAATGGGTTTAGCATGGGCAGTATTGATACAATTGATGATCCTATATCACCAGCAAAGCATAGAATTCAAATTGACCTTGGCCTAAATTGACTTACATTTTAATTGGGTTATTTGATCACAGCTGGAAAATTGGACCCATAGTAACAGCCATCTGGCCTGCCCTGTGTCTGTTCCTCCTGACCACTCACTACCTTGGCTTACCTATTAGGTCTCTTCTACTTTCTCGTATGTGCCTCAACCTCCTTGATCAAAGCCCAACGTGGCCTCAGTTGTGGTACTGGCCGAGCTAGTCTGTCCTGCCTAACAGCTTCCACTTACCAGTGCCAGCCTCTCTGTCATTCCTGGTGCCTGATCAGACCAGCAGCCTGTGCCAGTTTTGCTGTCTGCTTCCTAACCCATGCCTCAACCACCCCCGTGGTGGCCTCTTCTGCCATCACATTTTCTCTGACACTCTTGATTTCTGCCTGTGTTGGCCGCAATCAGCTCAGCTGCTGGTACTTGCATGGGCCCACGTACTGGTAAAGCCAAAGCACAAGGTAAACTCGGCTCTACCACACTGACTTTGGTCCTCCCCCCAACTCATTGGACACGACGCTGACACTAGATCTGACGGGGATTATAATCATGGCTTTCTACTTTTTGTTTGAGAATTCTTCCCCCTTTGCTGCCTCCTCCTTCCTGCTCTCACACCCCACAGTAACGGTGATGCCTCCTGCTTTATGTTGCCTTCTTGGGAATGCCCATGAGTGGGCCAGCCCAGCAGGTCCCCAGGCCTGGCCCACATTCACTTGGATGCTCTTGCTACCACCTGCTTATATACCCTCCGCCATTGCACTGCTTTTTGGACAGGTTGATGGTGTTGCCTCTGTTCGCCTGCCTAGGATTTAAGGCAAAAGAAGCCCACAGATCAGAGCAGATACAGCTAAATGTAAGTGGGAAACGTGAAACAGTGGGGGGGAAGGGGTTATGGGAAAGGAGGTGGGATGAGAGAATCTAAGTGGAGTTATTAGCAGGAGTAAGAGTGAATAACAGTGGTGCAAAACGGTGGGAGTGAGGGGGACATGAGAAAGTGATTGTGAATATAAAGAGAGCTGTACTTGACCATGAAATCCTACCCACTCAGAGCCCTGGCATTTGACTGGTAGCATACCCTACACACTTAATGGACATAGTTTATTGAACCAATTCTCTTTAATGAACAAATGTCCCAGAAGATTTAATGAGAATAAAACTAGAAAGGAAGTTCCTAATTCCTTAAATATAATTTGTGAATTCTATGGAAGTAAGGCTGCTATGTAGGGCAGTAAAGGAAATCCACAGCTTTAACGTGACTTTTAACATAATCTTATCATATCCCCAAGAGATAATATAATTGGTGTCTGAGTGCAAAAATCTTGGGAAACCATGGACTACAATGTTACATGAGGAGGATGGTTTTCCACAAAATAAGATGGTTTGTGTGTGTGTGTGTGTGAAACAAGGCAAAATAAGGTAATTCCCCATAGCAATAAATTAGGGATAATGCTAAAATTATGCTAAAAAGGAGTGGGAAACAGGCTGCTCAAAGGCCTATGTCATGATAATAATCCATTAGTCACGAAAACTTATATTTAAAAATTTTTTAATGTTTATTTTGAGAGAGAGAGCGAGAGAGAGAGCAAGCAGGCAGGGGCAGAGGGAAGGGGACAGAGATCCAAAGCAGGCTCTGCACTGACAGCAGTGAGCCCGATGTGGGGTTTGAATCTGTGAACTGCCAGATCATGACCTGAGCCGAAGTCAGACGCTCAACCGACTGAGCCACCCAGGCGCCCCGAAAGTTTATATTTTTTAAATAGAGTATTGGTGAACAAGTTATTAGATACTTGGGCAATCATCAAGATTTGTTTTCACACTTTAACACCTATGTCGTCTCTATCCTTGATCACACTTTTAAATGGACTTCAAGGTAAGTGGTGGTTTAATTTTCTTTTTCATTTTATTTATTTTAGAGAGAGAGTGTGTGCAAGCTGGGGAGAGGGGCAGAGGGAGAGAGAGAGAGAGAGAGAGAGAGAGAGAGAGAGAGAGAGAGAGAG